TGTGTATCTACCCCCGAGCGAAGATATTACCCTCTATTAGAAGAACTTAATTCTAACCTTCTAACTGGGGCATCACACTGTATCATAGCAGGAGACTTTAACGCCACCAGTCAACTATGGGGTGCTGACTCGGAGAACCGAAGGGGAATTGTGCGGTACTAGAATTCTTGGACAGTAAGCATTTCATTGTCATCAACACTCAGGACTCACCGCCAAGCTTTGAAACATCTAGAGCTCGAATGCGGCCAGCAAATCCCAATACAACTCCGTACATACAAGATTGGACAGTGAGGAGTGACCTGCCGTCATTCAGTGATCACAAAATTATTACTTACAGGCTGGATACTACATAATAAAGATATAGACTACATAATAAAGAAAAGATTCAAAACGGCATTTGGAGGACATTCCGTTTTACGGGAACACATTCGAGCGCATGTAGAGAAATTTATCAAAGATTTCAACAACTGCCAGGACAGAAACTCCTTAGATAATCTCTACGACTTACTAGTTACAAAAATAGTGCAAGCCGCCCACAAAGCATATCGTTTGAAATCTGTAAAGGCAAAACACTCGATATCCTGGTGGTCACCAGAGCTTAACACAGAGAGGAGCAGAGTTCGGGCACTTCGCAGAAAAGCACAATCCACGGTAGATCCATATCTACGGCAACTCAAAATGATAACATACAATAAAGCCAGAGCTTTATATAAAAGAAAAATTAAAGAGGCCAAGTTAATCTCATGGAGAACTTACTGTAGTAATGTCACTAAAGCCTTTGGACCTACTCAAAAGATAACATGTAACAAGGTGTTTCGTCCTACGACCCTTTCGCCTATGGTGAATAGCACTGCCTCATCCAACATCGAAGTAATCAGTGAGATCATAAATGCAGTTTTTCCTGATGATGATGAATGATGAAGAGGATTTCTTAGAGGAGCAAGAGGAAAGCGAGAAAAACCTACAGTATGAAATTTCGCCAAGTTACCAGAAGAGACGAACTCCCTCCTACGCAAATGGAAGTGGATAACAACATCATACGTACTCTGGCACCCAAAAAAGCTCCAGGTCCGGATGGAATTGATAATATCATCATTAGAGAGATACACCGGGAATTCCCAAAACTATTCCTTGCGGTCATTTCAGCTTGCTGGAAACATCAGTACTTTCCTAAAAATATGAAGTTGGCAGAAGTGGCGTTATTCCTAAAATCAGGCAAAACTCCGGCAGAACCTACATCTTACAGGCCAGTCTGTCTACTGCCAGCGCTCGGTAAGGTATTGGAAAGAGTAATTCTTTACAGATTGGACTTCTTCCTGCAAAGGAACAACGCCATGCATCCCAACCAATATGGATTCCGAATGGGCAACTCAACTGAACATGCCATTAAAAGACTTAATGGCCACTATCAAACAGAACAAGGAAAACAATTTGCACTCACTGGCAATAGCCATTGACATCAAGGGAGCCTTTGACTCCCTTTGGTGGCCAGACGTAATAAATTTGCTGCACAACATGGCCTGCCCAACAGCCATTATTACCATCCTTCGCTCGTACCTTCAAGATCGAAGTGTACAAGTAACATCAGACAGCGGCATTTATGTCAAAAATGTCTTTAGAGGATGCCCACAGGGGTCATGCCTTGGACCAACACTGTGGAATATAGTGGCAAACTCGGCATTTCGTCAGTTTGAGAGCGTAGAATACGCTCGAATCATAGCCTATGCGGACGATTTTATGCTAGTTGTGGCAGGAAGGAGTAACCTCGAAATGAGATCTCAATACTGTCTTGATCTGTTCTCCCAATGGGCCAGAGCACATAAGCTTCAGATTTCGGCAGAGAAAACTAAAGCTTTTACTCATAGGACGCAGCAGGCAGCTAAGACGCAACCCAAGCATTAAACTCCATGGGATACCGGTAAAATGTTTCCCCCAATTGAAATATCTTGGGGCTATTACTCGACAACAGACTTTCTTGGATGCCACATGTCAGGAATCTTAAGACTCGAATTAGCATCCTAAGCAACAACATGAGACGCATGACTTCACATAAATGGGGTATCTCATCTAAGCTACTAAAAATTTGGCATAGAACCATTACAGAAAGAGTAATAACTTACGGAGCAGCAATCAATCTGGGGTGGCGAACTTACCTCTCATATGAAAAGATCCCTGCTCTCTATTCAGAGACAGCAGCTACTTCAAGTATGCAGGGCCTACCGTACCACGTCAACACTAGCCCTACAACAACTAGCAGGAATTCCTCCCCTAGATTTGATAGTAGAAAGGGAGGCAGCTATTGTAAAGGTTACCAGGCTGGGTCAAACTTCCACACTCTGGGGTCATAGTTATCACCACTCTGACTACGAGGAGCAAAACAACTGAAAAAAACTTTCATATAGCAGCTTTTAATCTCTCCGACGGTATCAGTATAAACGACCAACCAATTCAGAGGTACAGTAATAACCTTTTCACAGATGGCTCCAAAACTGAGAACGGCACGGGCAGCGCCTTCTGTAGACTAGAAAATGGAGTTGTAACATTCGAGTGGAAAAGGAAATTAGGCTTGAACAACTCGGTATACCAAGCAGAGCTTCTAGCTATCAGTGATGCAATTAGATACATGTCACACATGTCAACAGGAGAAATTCTCCATACTCAGTGATTCGGCATCAAGTCTGGCGGCTATCGCAAGTCAAAACAGCCGGAGTCCTTTGGTATACAGAATTCAAAAACAGCTTCTGACAATGCCTATTTCGCAAAGACCCACTTTAAAATGAGTTCCCGCTCACACAGGGATTCAAGGAAATGAAGTCGCCGACCTACTGGCCAAGCAGGCAGCCAGCTGCACGGATATATTAAAAAGACCAACTAAACTTCCTTGGTCTCGTATTAAGCGAACAACTTTGACAAGTCTGCTACAAAATTGGCAAAGTAGATGGACAGAGGCAGGACTGCCAAAAGTTAACATGGAAATAAAGACCCACTGTGCTAGCCTAACACAGTTCTTGACAGGTCATGGACCATTCCCAGTATACGTGAACAGATTCAGACTTAAGGATACTCCTTTCTGCGAATGCGGAGAGGAAGGCGATACGGACCATTATTACTTCCATTGTGTACATACAAGAACCTGGCACTTGAAGAAACCAGCGGACTGTGCCTGGATAATGTGGACGAATAATACACTCAAAAACAGAATAGCCCTTGATAAAATAGAGAAAATCTCAAGACACTGCCTAAGCAGAAACAACCGTGGATAATATTATAATGTTTCAAATGTTCAGAACTTAAAGCAGATAACCAGAATAACGCTTAGTGCCTTGCAGTTATTAATATGTAAAAACTGTTATTAGTATATAATATTCAACCTTGTTACTCTGGAGTCTTCCCCGCCGTGATGGTATATAATTCCGTTTGGTTCATGTTCGTGGTCGGAAGCCATCATAGCGGTGCACTCACTCACTCACCTTCTAAGTGCTTTACCTGTTAAAATATTTCTTCTGCACTGCAAATATAATAGTTATTTAATTTTAAGAAATATATTTGCATATTACCTGGCAATATTTATTTAATGACCATATATATGTATTTAATTTTAAATAAATAAGCCAGGTCATACGGCATATTTATTTAAAAGGTCTTCGGAGATTAGAGTGTGCTAGGTGTGCAGCGTAAACAATCGGGATTAAATAAATGTTAACCTATGTAAGATTATCTACATTCAAAATCATATCCACATTCAACTACTTTATTTGATAAGCAAAAGCATCATATTTTATACTGAAGTCCCAAGTTTAGTAAATTTTCATTAGTTCTCGAAATATTTTCATTAGTACTTTCATCACTAAAAAAGTCTTATTTTCAAGCTAATGAAAGACAAAAACAACAAATAAATAAGTAAACAATTTTTTTAAACCATAAAAAAAGAAGAAGGATGAAATAAAATTAATTTTTAGTATCAATAAGTACAGTGAAAAATTAAATTTGAAGATTTATTAATATTCTTCTTTCACTTTGTATTCCTGTTTCATAATTACTTTGAAGTATTAATAAAAGTACTAGACTAACAATAAACAGAAAAAAGAAAACTTAAAAAAATTATGTAAATTTCTGTTTTTAGAATAGGAAAAACAGTTTAAAATTGAATATGCTTTGAGTTATTTCGGAAACAAAAGATATTTTTTGCTAAACAGTATATGCGCATTTCTTGGCCATTAAAGTAACATCTCTCATTTTTGTAAATGAAATTTCGACTTTTTAATTACATGCAATTCCAGGTCGTAAAATAGTATTTAACTATTGTTATTATTTAATTATCGATGTAATTTGTTTGATTTTTTAGCAAAAATCAGGACCAACAATAAAGAGTTTTAGGAAGCAGTAATAACTAATTATATGGTAAAGGGGTTCTTCAAAATATTTCTAATTGTAAGAATGTGTAAAAAGGAAAAATTCAGAAACTATCGGTTTGAGAATCTTCGTTAAAAGTTTGTTTACTGTGTTATATACAAAAGAAGATTGGCAGAAACATTCGAATAAGCTGAGTAAGGATAGTATAATTTAACGAGCACAGCTGTTCGCATTGTCTTCTGTAAAAAACAACTGTTGTTTGCTTTTCATTTTAGTTACTATTATTATTGCTTTAACCTCAATTTGCTTACTTTTAGGATTATTAACAGTACTTCTGAAATGAGACTAAAGTAAATAAACATCTAAATACTACCTATTTCTTTGAAATAAATTACGAGTCAGCTTATTAAGCCACATTCTAATATTAAAAAAAAAAAAAAAAAAAAAAAAAGATGTTACGTGCTCCAACAGTCTTCAGAAATTTCCTTAAAAATATTAGCATCTGAGAACTTTGGATTCATATTTATGTAACAAAAGCGCAGGTAAGAATAAAATTTGGATTTATTACGATATGGCAAAACGTGCTAGAGCTATCTATCCAATAGGTATGAATAAATAAATGAGAGTTGAGAATATTATGAACATACCCTGAGCATTGATTCCGGAGGAAAAAATAAATATTCCCAGTAAAATAAGTGTGAGAAAAACTTCCATATCTGCTACTAGATTTCGATCAGTAATTTACTCTGGACACATAACTGGAATTCAAAGCTTGCTTTGGCTAGAGAGTGAAGAGTTCTATCTCACTCCTACGCTCCCTGCAACAACGAGTGAAGTAAAAAGAGTCAAGAAGGAAAAGTCTACGATTAAACTTAGACTATGACCTTCCCTCGAAACGGATATTCATATACTTTCATTTTTAGGTAACAAAAGAAGCGAAATGAACCTGCGCAATGCCTAAAGACCGGTTAGGAGACGCTTTAGGATATTTTAACTCCTTAACAGTTCAGTCATGGCTGCCTACTGAGCTATTAGAACCTGACTGTAAAAAACATTTCTCAAGCTTTACACTTAATACAGAATTCGCTACAATTTGATTTTTCAAACGTAAAAAAACTTTACTTATTTTCGCATTTTCATTTCTGATTGCTCTCGCATTCTGCAGTTTTAAGAAATAAGAATCAAACCTGATATTATTATTTCAAAACCTGATAATTAGAAATTTTCACTTATTTGAAAGCAAGCCGAAGTCTCAGCCTCAGTTGTGAAGAAATGTTAATTAATTTAATTAATTCTAAATAATTACACTGTAATTTCGAATAGTGCGTGGGGGAAGTTGAATTTTTAGTCCAAATGGGCAATTTATCCTGAAGGACTATTATTTTCGTTTGGACATTTTGCGTTGGTTCACTATAAATGTCCGATTTACTTTTCAACTTGTTGCCACCAAATATTATCGCCCTATATTATATTTAAAGAAATTAAATAATGAAGAATCTACATAAATGTATGTATGTTTCTCGCATTGTCATAAAACAACGGTACCTAAGAGCCACCCAATTTTGAATAACGTACGTTTCCATCCGAATATGGGCATCTGGAAGCCAAAATTTAGAATTTGTAAGTTGTTTTATTATCTATTTCATACTTTTCAAAACTTTAACGAATCTTGATTAACAAACTCAAGCGAGCATTGGCAACACTTTACGTGGAGGGGAACCTTTTTATCTCCAGCGCGAAGAACTGTGTATCGTAAATTTTAAATGCTCATTTTAAAATTATTTTGCGACATTGCTGTTGAACTGAATTAAATGGTATAAGTGCAAAGAACATGATATTTAATAAATAAAGGTAACACACAAAACGTTAAAAAAAACGCGCCTTTAGACGTAATTTAAAATCTGAAACCTTTCAGATTTTTTTAAAAATTTTATTTATTTATTTTCAGTATCGTTTATAACAATATTATCCTATAGTGACTTCACTAATCACCTGAGCATTTTATGTGCTTTTAAACGAAATGTTATGAAGTTTATTCTAGCACCAGTGAAACCACCATACCATTCAGCCAATCTTAAAAGCGATGATGAATGCACTTGCACTTTTATTTTTACACACTGACGACTGTCGCAGATCTGTACATTGTCTGGATTAGCAAACTGTCATCTCCTGACAAGATTCGATTTGTTAATTTTTGAGTACCGCACTCTTCCTTGTATATAGCGTAAACAAAACATACAGCTTTGAAAAGTGTAAAAAATGTGGGAAATTTGTTCCAAATTCTGTTTCAGATTGCTTAGTATTAATATAGACGAGAGCTTCTCAGATCAGGAATTGTTATCGTCGATGTGGTTCCAACGTTACTAAGAGTTGCAGGAATATTTAAAAATTTTAACCTTAAAATTATTTAATTTTTTATTAGAAAGTTTTATGGTTTAAGTGCAAATATGCCAAAATAATAAATATTCCTAGCCATTGATTCAAAAAATTATCTATTCTGTATAGATATCTGTATCTATCTGAAGTTCATTATCTATTCAAATCTATTCTATATTAACAGTTTCATTTAAACTAAAACTTAGAGTTTTGTTTAATGATTAATATCTTATATTTCTTTTTCTGCTTTATACATTTAAACTACCTCATGATTAATTCCATCTTCTTTTCAGGTATTATATTATGCCCAAAGGGGCGTTTTTTAATGCATTGTGTCTTTCCTTTATTTATTAAATATCATGTTCCTCGCACTTAAACCATAAAATTCAATTCAGCAGCAATATCACAAAAAATATTTAAAAAGAGCATATCTTTAGAATTTCTGACACAGTCTCGCTCGCTGGCGATAACTTTTTTTTTTTCGTATAGTGTTGTCATTGCTCGCTTTGAAATCGTTGAGTCTGATAATCAAAAATCCGTTAAAGTTTTACAAAATATGAAATAGATAATAAAATAAATAATATTTGGTGGCAACATTATGAAAAGTGAAACGCCGTTTTATAGTGGATGACGGAAAATGCCAATACGAAATTAATAGCTCTTCTGGGCAAACTGCTCCTTGGGCTGAAAAAGAGATAGTTCCATATCTTCTATTCTGCTGAGACAATTGACGAAATTATGCCAAAGTGCCATGTTTTGTAAAAATCGCACGATTAGGTTTTTAAAAAATTAGCTTTCAAAATTTTAGCTCCTCACTGCTAATCGAATTTTGTATATAGGGTGTTTCTAAATTAATATCGAGGTTTTAACGCTTTGTAGTATTTATTACGTAAAACTTAAAATTATAATTAATACATGATATGAAAGAGCAACTCATACAGTTACGTTTACAAGTGTTCAACGTGAGCAGCTTTCGTCACATGACACACATTAAGTCGAAAACCCTTGGTCCAACTAATTGCACGCTGACAGTAACTACAAATTCAGTCTTTGCAAACTGCAGAACAAAAAGCTTTCTGTTCACTAGTCGCCATTTTTGTTACTAGCGTTTTCTGGCGCATGCGCGTACCAACGAACAGATGTGTTTGAGTTGCTCTTTCATTTCATGTATTAATTAGGATTTTTAAGTTTTATGTAATAAATACTACAAAGCGTTACAACCCTGATAATTCATTTAGAAACACCCTGTATATTTATTAATATTTCTTTTTTCCTTACACTTACTTGATTCCTTCTTTCACAGTTCAAAATTTAGGTTCAATCCAAATAAAATTCGCAGATATTTCCTGATTTAATTTTAAAATTTATGTTTTTAGAAACTTTTATAAATTTTTCTAAAAAACTGCTTGAATTATAACCTAAAAAAATTATACTATCACCTTAAAAATTGGGAGGAAAAAAAACTATTTAACGCAATTTCAAGGCCAGCAAACGTTTCACTAGCTGATGCTCCCGTGTCTGCTTCAACTACAACATTAAAGTCATCTTCTTCCTCAACACTTTCTTCTCTCAAACTTTCAATAAGTTCATCATCATTTATAATTTGAAATCCAAGGTCTGAGGAATCACACAGCATCCATTCTGCTGTATCCTCAGCACTAACTTCTTAACATCCAGGAGTTTTCAAAAGAAATTGTTTTAATTCCTCAAGTGACACGTCATCCTCATCTTCTCCTGTCTGTTCCCTTTCCTTTTCTTCTTTTTCCTTTTTCTGCTTTTCCTTCTCTTCTTCAGATGATTCTGAAAAATTCTGAAATTCTGAAAACGATTGAGATAATCAACGATTCGGATAGTCGGAGGTCGGATAATTGGAGTTGTGCTGCGGTATTACAACATTTGCTCTATTAATAGAAGAATTAACGTTAGAACAATATATGCATCAGTTATATTAACTTGAAACAAAAGAGTTGCCAACAGTAACTATTTATTTAAAATGCTGACATTAACGAACAATTTTCGATATACAGTGATGTCACATGCAATCGCGGGCTTTCTTCAGCATCAGAATATGACCTTATATAATAGTATGATGTTTAATGTTTGGCAATGTTATTTTTATTCCATATTTTGTAAAACTTACAAATTTTTGATTAGCATAACTCACAATTTCAAAGCAAGCGGTAGCAACATATTTCGAAATTAAGCATTTTTATCTCCAACGCAAGCGACTATTACCACACTGAAAAATGAGTGCGAAAATTAATGTTTTCAAAGTTTTTAATTGATATCTCGGCTGATTAAAGTCGTACGAAGATGGGAACAGTCGAAATAGCTTCCCACGAATTTTTGGAATCGGGAATAATGCATTTAATGTTTGGCAATATTATTCTTATTTCTTATTTTGTAAAACTTAGAAATTTTTTATTAACAAACTGCACGATTTGAAAGCGAGAAGTGGCAACACTGGCCTGTTTTTACTTCCCTGTAAAGGAAGTATTGGAAGTAAAGGAAGTATTGTAATCTCGAAAAATTCCGAATCAAATGCAATTTAGCAATGTTTTTGCGCGACATCTGTACCTAAGGACAGAATAAAGGACTCTTTTTCCCAAAACGGGTTGGAGAAAGTATTTAAAATGGGTTCAGAAGAGAATTCTTTCGTAACTTTTGTACGTACATACGTATGTATGCATGTATCTCGCATAACTCAAAAACAAGTAGCCTCAGAACGTTGAAATTTTACACATAGGACTGCTATAACATGCAGTTGAGCACCTCCCTTTTTGGCTACAATCGGCCGCACCAGAAGTGTATATATAATATATATATATAAATATACAAAACATTTTTAAAAAACAAAATATAAATGTCTAGCATTTTCGCGCTTTAAGCTGAAGCAAATTATCATTAAAGGCATAAGTAGAGAAATTTAGAACTAATGTTACACAGAGACAAAAAATTTTGAAATTCATAATTAATAAATTTTAAAATCTCTATAAATGCAACAAAGAACTTAATAAATGTAAAAACTAAAACTTTTAAAATTTTTACTTATTGGATACTTACGAAAACTTTCATAAAGACAAAGAAAAAATTTAAATTTATATTTGCTTTCTATTTGAAGTTTAAAGGTTTAACCTGGAAGAAATTTTTATTGAATATATTTTGTAGTTCAAACTCATTAACAGCTAAATATTAAATTTTAGACTAAAGTTTATTTCAGATAATTGCAGTACTTTGAAATAACCACTAAATTCCGTTAAAAGGAAGTTATTTCCTTTTAACGTTACCCGGAAAACAGAAATTTCAGAATAATGAAGCGCTTCCAGCTGCCAGCTGGCAAATTAAATTTACTCACTGTACCACCGTGGGAAATTCTCCAAACTCGTCCTCCTCGCGTGGCCTGGCATACAAGCCTACAGTGACACAGACAAAGCCATTCTGTCTTTTGTCTTTCAACAGCAGTTGCGCACACATACCTTTATCTTCTTTATCTTTTATGGAATTAGCATTTGCTAACTCCATATCTGTATGTCTCTAAAACTATAAGCACGGTATTTGAGACAAATATATGATTGCAGTGTATTTTGAAGCTACATAAAATTCCTTCAGATGGAGATTACATGCGGCCTGCTAGCGGTGCTAAGGTCACTGGTGTAAAAAAAATTTCAAGGTATATATCTGAAAATCTCTTATCTTGTTCGGTAAATCATTAACTTTCATGCATAAAATTGGGAGTGTGAAAATGCAAAACTGTTCATATTTAAAGCTCTGAAGAATCCTGGTATCCAGTAACAATAGTATAAGCCATAAATCTGATGGTACACAGTTTTAATGGAAATTATATTTTTAATAAATAAGGCAAATAGCTATTTGCAGGTCTAAACGCCATTTGCATTAATTTATTTATTAATGCAAATGGCATTTAGACCAAGACTATCTGTAGCGGCATAAATACATAGCAAAGAGTTTTGTAAGGAAACCTAATTTATATTTACTTATTCGGGGGAAGGGACGAAAATTTATGTATATAACTTGATTTCTATTTGCATCAAATCCTTAGATTTTATTAGTTGATAAAACGATTAAACAAAGGATTCCTTAGATGCCGTTCTAATGAATATTTATAATTCATTTTCGTTCAAAATGCTTTCATTTTTTCGATGTAACTTACTTGTCATTAATTATTGATTGATGTCATGTATGTTAACAAAATTAACATTTTCTCAAGTCATTTGATTCTTCTTCAACTTACATACTATTGAAACCTTTTTGAAAGAGAACTTAGTTAATTGGAAATATTTACGGGAATAGGAAATAAATGATAAAGGTTGCTTGAAATACCAGCACATATTATATAGGTCCAGTTTGGAAAGCAGCGTAGTAAAGAAGTGAGTGAAATTCATAGTGAATTAGTTAGTAAAAGATGAAAGAGATTGCATTTGTCCAAACACTGAAGAGCAAATGAAAGTATTTTAAAAATAACATTGCACTTTATGATAGCTTTCTGAAAGTGAACGAAACCCATTAAAAGAGAGAACGTCATTTTCCAGTTATGAACAGGTTTTTTTTTCGTCCGGTTGCAGCGCCTATCAGGAAACTGCGACACACAACAGAGCAGAAGCTATCACCCTCTGAACCCAAGTGTCCTTGACTATCAGTGATAAATAAAGACTAGTTTTATTTCTAAGAGATCAAATGGAACCAATGGTATTTCAAGCAATTGTCAGCCTGCTATGTTTGTGTACTTCTCTAGGCGAAGCTTCTTCAACATTTGGTAGGTTAGAGTTTCTTAAATACATTTACTTACTTCTATATTTTTATTTTATAAAATTGCATTCCGAAAATCATTTGTTAAATTTTATTTTGTCGTAAAAAAGAATCGTAGAACCTAAAAGCATATTTTGTTTTCATTAATATGAGGCTAGTAGTCACCGTTTTGGCCGGAAATAAGGCTTCACTACTTAAGCTGTACTTTTGGAGCAGTCAACCATTTTAAAATATATTAACAAAGTTATGTAATTTTCTAAGAATTTTTGAAAAAGCGTACTAGTATTTTATCCATTTTCCTCCTTCATTTAAAGAATTTAATTATCTTTATTTCATGACATTTTGAAATTATCAGTTTTCAGAATTTTTAATTATCATTAAGGTAGTTTTTAGACTATTTAACTATCATTATTATTTAATTATAATTTAATCATCATTATATTTAATTTTTATACAATTTAATAGCCGTGCTGATACTCTTTGTTTTAATAGAAGTGCCTTAAATGCAAGCTCTTTGTTTTAACAGAAGTGCAGCGTCAGCATGTGTGAAAAGCAGTCTCATATTCAACTTGAAACAATTTTCTCTTATATAAATGATATGCTTAAATATTAACTGAAAAGGAAATACAGAGTATTAAAAACATTAAAAACCTTATCTGAAAGAAAAAATAGCCTGCTTCGGCTATTTTTTCTTTCAGATAAGGTAATAAGTAAGTTTTTAAATAAGTAAAAACTAATAAGTAAATTTTTAAATATTAAGTTACAATTAATACAGCCGGGATCATTTGCGCTGTTCCTTAATAGTTGCTATCAAACTGTAGAACAAGAAAGAAACAGACTGTGATTTAGTAATCGTAATATTAATCTTGCTTGGTAATTAAGTTTGTCAATGCGATAGCTATTTTCATCTGCTGTTTCCTTCAGTCAGTATATGAAGTGGTGGAGTAAAAGACGAATGGATTGCTGCAGTTTTAATATGTAATGACGTCGTCAGTCGGTATAGTGATTAGCGATGCTGACTGTCTTAGCGATGGACCCGGGTTCGAATCCCTTCTCTTTCTCGGAAAAGGTATGATTTAACTATCCGCCCCTTCATTGGAGGCAACGGTGGGCACCTAGCCACTAGCAACCACGCTAGGCAACGTAGCCACCCTTGCCTAGCGTGGCAAGCTAGGTTGCTATGTGGCCACAGCAATGGTGGCCAACTAGCAACAACCGCAACTTGTAGTTGCACAAGGCTAATTGCTATTAAATAAAGCGCCCTAGCATTAAGAAAAAATGTATGATAACGTAAGATTTGTAGATGCAGTTGCGAATTTCACATGCGCTTTCTTGAAGACGGTCATCAAAATCACAGCAACAAAAGTATCACAAGCAAAATCATAGTAGTGAAAAAAACTCGAAGGGAAACTATTACTTTGCATAACACTGTCAGAAAAAAAAATCGAACAAGAACGAAATCTCAAATTTTTTAAATATCGCAGCAATAAGGCAACAGAATTTTCCAACATCGAAACATCAGCGTTTAAAACGCCTTGTTGAAAAAAAAAAAAAAAAAAAAAGCATATTTTTACCGACTTTTTTAAACTTTTTAAATGTGTAAAATTCGTACAATATGGACGTAACAAACTGGATCCCATTCTGTATGTCTCCTACAGACATAATAACCTAATGCACAGGTTCTACATTCAAGTTCGAGACTGATTTAAGCTTAAAAGCCATTGTGCAACAAAGCGCACAACCGAATCTTTCGCTTCTAAAAAGAAGTGTAAGATTCAACACAAAGTATCTATGTAGTACTTTCTATTAAGCTGGACAGGATTTCAAAAGTTGATTGCTAATTCTATTCCGCTTGTACCATTGCTAGTAGCTGGTCTTCGAAATATTTACTGTAATGCCCACTTAGTTAGCTTCCTAGTATTTATTTCATTGCATTCTCTTTCATATTGAATGTTTTTTATGCTGCACATGTACAAGTCTTTCTCATTTCGTAATTCTTTAAATACACATTTCCTTTTGTATGTTAACAGGACTTTTTTCCTTCCTTTTCCGAAGTTCTAGGTCAGTCTTTAGATATGCCTATTTTAAGCTCTGAAAAACATTGGCAGCAGACATTTGGTTTATGTAGTTAAATACCTTCAACAAAATTTTATTTTTAAAACTTATTTATATAATATATTATATTGAATAATTTTAAATTTTTCCATTTAGAGCTTGCTCCTGAAGATTATCTACGATGGAACTATACTTATTTCAACGAGAACTGTACTTATGTTACTGGTGATAGAAATCCATGCCAAGATATAAGAATATGCAATTTTGCTGTTGCATCCCAAGCTCTTGGTGGCTGGCCTACTTTGTGCGGGTGGGTACATATTAAAGTACCCAAAGTATGCTGTGGCTTACCGTTAGTTCTCGGTCCTAAACTTATGAAGAAAACTGATGAAGAAAAAGCAAGAAAGAGAGGTAATTTTCCATTTTAAGATACGTGTCTTCGTTATAATATTTGAATGTTTGTATATGGTAATTCAGGAATAATAAGTAATTTCGAATTTAAATTATAATATTATTGAGCTGTTAACTCGAAAATTTCGAATTGAAAATATTCGTGAAGAAACTAAGTTTGAATAATAACTCAGTTATTTCAGCTGAGAGGAATTAGTTCTTTTAATAATATTTTCAACGAAAGACAAATATATTATTATTTATTATTAAGCAGACGTTTTTAGGCATTTCTAAATATATATTTTTTTACATTTGTTTGGATCAGAACCATGGAAATTAAAAATAATTAATTTTAAATTCAAAAACATTACTAAACACCATTCTGGAGATAAAATTTGCAAATGTGCAATACAAAAGAGCTTATTAGAGAATAAATATATGTGAATTAGATCATGAATATTCCAAACAGGAACATTACGGATGTGAAATTTTTTTGCTTCATCGCATTAATATTTTGCCTTTAATTAAATGATAATGAATTAGAAAATGTAATAATCTAGCAAAATTTTAAGTGTTATTGAATTTGGCTGATAAACTTTCTATACAACTTTGCTATATTGCAAGTGAAAAATAAATTTTATACATTAAAAAATTTAAATTAAAAGAATAAAAATAATTTCGCTGCAAAAGATGCGATGTGTCTTTTTCAGCTTCATTTGGAGCTAATGTCACATATGTTTCTCGATACACTGTAATACTATACACTGGAACTACTATAGTTTGTTACTAAATAATAGTCACTTCAGGGTAATGATCATAAATGAAAGTAGGGTCACTACAAAATAACACACTTTAAATACTTCACAGTAACACTCTTTAATAGAAGTCTGATATAATACTGAGATGAAGAGAAATTTTGTATAACATGACTTCTTAAATTATTTTAAAAACATAATTCTTTGCGTTCTTTCCAACATGACCTTCAACTTCGTACTCTGTGTTCCTGCAAATAGCTGTTTGCAAGGATCCAAGCTTTTAAAAAAAAAATCAGCGTCTCTTCTGAAAGACAAAAGTTTTACTAGAATTCTCTACATCAGTGGTATCAAATCTATGGGTAACGACCTTAAGTGAGGTCGCCAAAATTTACAGTAGAATCGCAAATCGGATAAAAAAAAATTCTCAAATAAATTTAATTGAATAAAAACACAAATTTTGTGAGAAAATATTTTGGTTTATAAAATGTGAAATTTTATTAAATTCTAGACAGTTTATTTTCAGAATAATGGTTTCAAACAAATAGACCCTATCTCTTTTAAATCGTAGCTCTAAAATTTAGTTTGGTCCGATTTGCCTCGGACGGCGTCATGTACTGTCTGTCTATCATAGAAACAGCTCTCGACAGATAGTCTGCACCTGTCTACTGCCGTAGATACTTTGATACTTTGGTTGTTTATTCTGGCATGCAGCGGGAGATACACTACTCCCGCTCTTTCCAGATTCCTTAATGAACCCCCTTAGTGTCCTGACATATGTAGAAGTCCAAAAATAAAGCTTTTCCAGTTGAGATAGCCTTGTAAAACTAATAGAGAAGTGTAGCCTAAAGCCCTAAGCCTAAAGCCTGAAGCCGAAGCCCTAAGCTTCGGTGATCAGCAAGCCGTGTTATTGCCGTAGAAACGAGACCTAGCCTATTTTTAATACGGTTGCCTTAAAGAATTGCTTTTCAATTTACCATCTTGGCGCGCTTAATAACAAATTCACGTTCTCTAAACATTCTCTTTCGAGCGACAAATATTCGCCGAAAGCAAAATAATAATAAAACATTCCTCTGGCTCACTCCTACATAAAATATACTATCTCTGTTGCTATAGCGGCCACCACCAACTAGACATAATGGCGAAACAATTCTCCTTGTAAACAGATAGTAAAACCGCGTCCGTTTTCAAAGGACATTTACATAAATAAATGACGAGAGAGCAAAGTTCGCTTTTCATCAATGTGGCACATTTGTGAGTTTATTTAAAATTTTGGTGTACAATTTTATATTTTACATAGTTTGGTGTTAAACTGACTGTTTTTAAAGTTACACATTTTATGTTTCGTCATGGATAAGTGGCCAGACATTAAATGAGAAGAGCGCTTCGATTTCGGTTGCTTTAACTTCCGATGCTAACCAGATACGTTTTCAGGCAACCGACCAACCGTCTGTTGTCTCTACAGACATAAAGATGTGAAAGCAAACAAACGAGTTCTTAAATTTGGTAATGAGCTTGTAGAGACATTAGGTTGTTTCGAAGCAGGAGACGTGAAAAACTGTGCAATGCCCTTGCCGGGAATCGAACCGGGGACTTCTCGAATACGCATGGAGCGTACTAACCACTAAATGCTAAGAAGGTGGGAGAAATGCCTTATATACTTCCCCTTTTAAAGGGCGACTGGGGTTTTAGGGGACCCAATCGCCAAATCCTGGTGGAGAAAAATCATCATCTACCACCTTTTAGTTCGGACGCCACTGTAGAAGACATTAGGTTATTATTTGGAAGCAGGAGAGATAAAAAATGAACAATGCCCTCGTCGAGACTTTTTCAGAAATAAAATAGAGAAATGGAAACAAAACTTTGTGGGTAATTTTACAAATATCAATAAAAAATCATTGGAACGCTTCTTCCCGAGTGAGCAATTGTATAGATAAAATTGGCATGCCGTACACAATTGCTGAAGAGTTAATTGTTCCAGTAGCCCAGGATATAGTAGGCATTACATTTGGGGAAAACGAAAGTAACAGATATATTTAACACTATTCTCTGATAAAGCAAGTGGTCACAGAATATACGTAATGGCAGATAACGTGGAAACTGAATTTTATAATCAGAATCAAAAACGTATAATTTTAGTGTTGGTTGTGCATTAGCACTGAAGGCGTAATGAGTACGTTTCCTCAAGCACAGTTTTCATTAAAGAATCATAAGTCAAAAAATTAACTACGAAATCTTTATTTAATAAAATAGGATAATTCTGCTTAACTTAAGCATAACAATAAAGTAATAATCTTCACACACATTAAAACACTGAATTATCGAAAAGGAGATAACTTATATAGAATCATCATCAGTCCTAAATATCATCAGGGCCCACCAGAGGCCGAGCGGTAAAGTCGCTGAACACTGGTAGTTCGGTCCGAGGTTCGAATCCCGCGAACGGGCTGGCTGCATGGGCGTTTTCGTGGTTTTCCCCATGTGTAACGTGTATACGAGCCAGTTTCCCTTAGAAACGAAGGCATCCCTCCTCTTAGGCAGATAGCCCTCGAGGCTTTGCCATAAACACACACACACACACAAATATCATCAGGCTTACCTATTTTAGGCAATAAGAAAAAGAAAACAGGAACATACGTTGACATACGTCTTAGGCAGATAGCCCTCGAGGCTTTGCCATAATCACACACACACACACACACACAAATATCATCAGGCTTACCTATTTTAGGCAATAAGAAAAAGGAAACAGGAACATACGTTGACATAGTACTTGAAAAGAGAAAGTACTAAACGAATACACTCCACGTAGGTAAAGTGAAAGTCAAATATACTGTACTGCTTTTTTTTTTTACGAACTTTACTTTCTCTCGCCAATATATATCTTGGCGCACGTTCGTTTCGTATGCCTTTCGAGTTTCATTATGCAAAATACCTAAATTTATGCTAAGATTGCCCCTGTTTTGCTAATGAAACTCATATCAATTGCAATTCATTCCTGCAAAACTGAAAACTGAAATTTAGCTTTAGGAATTGGTTTAGTCATAATATCAGCAACCATTTGCTCTGTTGAAAGATAAGCAAGTTTTACTATTCCTTTGTTATTCAAGTCGCGTATATGATGACCTTTTGTATCAATATGTTTTGTGCGCGAACTGAATTTTTCAGATTCTAGAAGTCTTATAGTAGACTGATTATCTTTAAATATCTTTATCGGTAGAGTTTGGGGTAGACTGAAATCTTCTGTTAATTTTAATAGCTATAAAAGTTCTTGCGTAGCTTGCGATAGTGCAAACATATTCAGTTTTCTGCTGAGGATAAAGAACACAAGTTTGTTTTCTTGAAAACCACGAATACAGTTTTTCCTAATAAAATACATTTCTGATGTAGATTTTCTATCTTCAATATCTTGTCCCCAATCAGCATCTGAATAAACTGTAATATTAGGTTCTTCACTCGACGAAATTTGTAAGGATAGATTCTTTGTCGTGTTTAAGTATCTAATGATTCTTTTAACAGCATTCCAGTCCTTTTGATGTGGATTATTACACCTTCTGCTGAGTATGTGAGTTGAAGCTGTGATATCTGGTCTTGTGATAAACGATATATACAAAAGACTTCCAATAGCTTGGCGAAATTTATCATTTGAAGTTAGGAGATTTTCTTCCTTGTTTAAGTTATAATAGTTTGTTTCCATTGGTGTGCTAGCGGGTTTCGCTTCTTCAAGTTGAAATTGCTTGATAAGTTGATTTATTTTATTTTTCTGTGACAAGAGATAACTTCCATCTTTCTTGCGATTTATTTCCATGCCTAAGAAATATTTAGCTTACAGATGCGTTATTTGGTAACGTTTCTTTAAATCATAATTGTTTGAAGAATTAGTCCTTCTCTGTAGAACTATTAGGATGTTATCAACATACATATTAATTAATTCTTTATCACAAACCCTTTTGTGAAAAAATACGGATCTGTTTGCTTGAAGAACCCAAATTCTTCAATGTATTTTCAATTTCTGCTTCAGACTAGCGCGTTGAGACCATAAATCGGACTTCTTAATTAAAAACTTTTGTTTTTCTCCGAACCACGAATCCTTCGGTTGTTCCATATATATTTCTCCATTAAGTTTCCATACAAAAACTTGTTTTAACATCTAGTTGATGTACCTTGGCATTATAACGCTGCCCATGCTAAAAAACTCTTACGTAGGTGTTTCACTACTGGTGAAAAGTTTCTCAAATCAGCCGTATTTGAGTAAATCCTTTGGCGACTAGCGTGCTTTGTATTTTATTTTACCAGTTTTCATCATTATTTTGTCTTAACACCCATTGCTGCCTACTGCATGTTTTTATGTGGTAATCTGTATGTTATAGGTTTCATTTTCTACTAGCGAATGTATTTCTTATTGCATAACCTTTATCCGAGCTCTGTTCACGTTTTGGTAATTAGAATTTCTTCAAGCTTTCTGGATCTTATTTTTTAGGTAAGATTATCTTCGTCTTCTGCTTTATAAGAGAATCTTCCGTTGGGACCCCTTTGTTCATCTGCTCGAAACCCTTCTTTCTACATTTTCTTCACATTTATTAAACTCTTTAACAAACTTTTTGATCTTTGTAAAATCATAGCCAAGAGAGTTCTTCATTCTTTTCTTCACTCTTGCGAGTTATGAAGGATTAATTCTAAATCTTCAGCATTATTTCTGCATGTTTGTCAGATAAATACGGTTTTCTGAAAATGTACAGTTTACTTCTATTATTTTCCTTCCACTACATAAATCCTGTACCCTTACTTCGAATCGGATCCTACAATATTCCTCTTCGGCTTTGTTTCGAATTTACGCCGTTTTGTTTGTTCACATAATAAAATGCTTTAAGCCAATATCGTAGTACTTAAGTTTGTTTTCTACATTCCACAATTCATATGGGTTCATCTGTGGTTTTAGTTGGTACTATTTTGAAGATATGCGCCGTAGCTGCTGCTTCAGCCCAGAACCTTTCGGTGGTAATTTATTTATTAGCAGAGCTTTGTATTTCTCTAAGAGCGTTTTTCCTTTCTGCCGAAATAGGCAACCGAAGTTTACTGAAAAATGCAGTTTTTTAAATAATTTCAGTAGTTCGTCGTATTCTGTATGTGTCGGATCGAGAACCTTGATTTCTTTAAATTTATTTGTTGTCGATGAACATACTGTTAAGTTTGTCGATACTTCACTTTGAAGTATAAAATATTTTGAGTATAACGCGAAGTCATCAATGAAGTTCGAAATATCTTTCCCTCCTAAGCTGTTGACTTCTAAACTATTTTGGGATAAGATTTTTCAGTTAGTTTCGCTTTACCAGTAGAACTTCCACACTATGAGGCATTGCAAGTTTAAGCCGCTGCAAATATTTTTCTCAAGTGTTTTGGCATTATATTTGTGCCTAATCTTTGATTTGATCATTTTAGTAACAGTTCGTATTAGAACATGAAATATCATTAGCTAAGTATGCTTCTCGTCAATTGATGTTGCGGTCATTATAAACCTTGTGAGGTTGCCGTCGCTACGAGTATATGTACGCTTTATGTAACCTTATTACTATCAAATGTAACAATGCAACCTTTATTCGTACAGATTGAATAAAGTAATTAATATCTGACCTGGTACATACAACACATTTTCTAATTTTTTTATTGTGTAATCTGACCCTTTAGTTTGACTTTAAAACACTTCATCAATACCATAGAATTTAATTTACACCATTTGCTACAGTTACTATTTGTTTATACAGTCATTTAACTGAGGAAAAAATTCTTATCACTCGTTATATGAGTTGAGGCTCCTGAGTCGATAACCCATTCTTGCGTTTGCGTGTTTTCATGTTTATTTTCCACTTTTACTTGATAAACTGACTCTTTGAATTTTCAGTTTCAATACTTTAAGATACTTATTTCTTTAAGTTTGTTATTTTTCTACACTTTGCGTATTGCTATTTGCATGCATTACTTTATAATTTTGAGAATAATTTCTACTTTACTGTTATACATCTGTTTCGGGGAAGTTCTAGCGTTGCGTTTTAAATGAAACAGTCATTTATCGTATGGTTATTTCTCTTACAATAAGTACAATTTGGTAACTATTTTGATTTTATTTCCCGCTTTTACTTTTAAAGCAACTGAATCGATTTGAACTTTCTTAGTTTCCACATGTCTACAAAACCATCTATTAGTTTTTTTTTAACATATTCTACTAGCGATATTCAGCTTTCGATTTACTTTCTATTGCAGTTTTTAAGGAGTTGTATGAATTGGTAAAGAACATAGTAATATTGCTATTAAGTTAGTTTCTTTAATTCTTACCTATACTACGAGCTTTTCAGCCAATTCTATACTCCTTGATATGTTACTGCATTTAAACTTTCATTATATTAATGGAATATAGTTTTCTAAGAGAATAATTTTGTTTGTTAAATTCACTTATTGGACACATTTTAACTTTGCCAAATTCTTTTGCAGATTTACTATGCAATACATGGATAATTTCCAAATCCGAAATATTTAGGCATATTAAAGCTTTAGCTTTACGATCATTCTTTAAACCAAATATCAGTAAAGTTTCCCCGGTTTTTCTTCGAATACAACATATCTAACCTTTCTTTTATTAGAAGTTGTCATTTTAAATTTCCACCTGAGTAATTTTCATCTGTTAACTTTTCTATACAACTGATTCTTTTAGAATAGACAATAATTATTCGTTACAATTATTCTTATAAACTTTGTACTAGTATTTTCAACAAGAGTTTTAACACTTTATGCCCCTGGAATCTTACAACATACAAAATTTCAATTTAAGATAGAAGCATTTTCACAAAACAATTACCCTAATCTCTCATAATCTTTTGTTGCTTGTGTATTAGCACTGAGGCGTAATGAGTACGTTTCCTCAAGCACAGTTTTTCATTAAAGATCATAAGTCAAAAATTACTACGAAATCTTTATTTAATAAAATGGATAATTCTGCTTAACTAAGCATATAAAGTAATAATCTTCACACACATTAAAACACTAAATTATCGAAAAAGAGATAACTTACATAGAATCATTATAATTATATATAATTAAAACTTTCATTGGGGTTTTGAGTTCGTCCGTGTAAGCACTTTGACAGCAGTTTTTTGTCAGACAGACTTCTAAACACAGCATTTCCACTTTTATGTCAGCATTTCCACTGTTATCTTCAACTGTTTCTTTTACAGCTTTCAACATGGATTCTTCAGCAATTTCTGATAATACAGGTAACAAAATTTTGTTATACTTCTGAAAGTCCACTTGGCGGAGGGGGTAAGTTAATAACAGCGCAAAGAATGTCTCTGCAGCTTTCTTCCCTTTACCAATGCAAACGCATTGCATAAGTTAAGGGGCGTAAATTAACATCGTAGCATCTTTTAGATTTTTTAGATGTCATACTACTCGTAGAATATCCACATGCAGTACACAAATACAGTAAACTTACTGCAAGTCCTCTGCGGGAATTACTTTGGTCTATCACATCAAAAGAAATCACATTTCCACAGTTCTTACATTTTGCAAATGCCTTCAATAAATGCAATAATGTTTCTGTTTCAATTATAAAGTTTCTACTCTTCTGAGACTCTAAGAACTCATCTTCGCCATTAACTATGCCGATTTTGTACTCAAATGCACTCATATTTAGGGGAGACTTACTTACATTATGGGTAACATCTTTCACATATGTATGTTGATTTCCGATATATTTTCTCTTCCCGAATGATTTTTTTCTCGGCATTTCCTTATTTAAAACTTTTATTCACTAACATAACACAATAAAACAATCAAAAATAAACACAGAAAGCACGAATTTAAATGAAAAAGAACGAAAAGAATAGCGAAACACAAATTAAACAAAGCCAAGTTGTAAATACGAAATTCGACAATTATCCACTACACAGCTTAGTAAATAAGCCAATTTAAAAACGTGTTGCCAAATGTCTTTCAAAAGAATCATATTCTGACCAAGGAAGTAATAAAAACTGCTAAAACATCTGTATGTGCAAGTGATATTAAACAACGATAAAACATCTGTCCCTTTAAACTTGTGGGCGTGCAGTGCTTGTTTACATTTTAAACGAGAGATTTCGCCCTTTTAAAATTTCGAAACATGCATAAATTATATATTTTTGAAATCGTCTGAGTCTACTTTATTTTTCTAGAGCAAAATTGAAAATTCGAAAATTTTTATGTCATTTGTCCCCTTAAGTCTTCAAGAAAAACAATGAAAAATATTAATAGCTATGAAAAAATCAAAGGCTTTATAAAGAAAATTGATTTGTTGTTCTCCTACTGCAAGGAGATTAATTTTGAAGCATTTCCTACTTAAGAAAGGTTTGTTATGGAAAACAAATTAAAAGCTTTCAAACGGTTATTAAAGATAACAACTCATTTGACAGATCTTAAATATCAGTTTAATACTTATTTTAAGAAAAATCTTTCTTAATGTGAATGGATCCGAAATCTCTTTCAGTGTGTGTTACCCAAAATTTAGCATTTCATTTAATCGAAAAACTAAACTAAAATCTGATGAAGAATTAAAATTTCTTTCCAAAGCACATTTTGGCTTAAAGTTCGAAATGAATATCCAGAATTGTCTGATGCATCTATAAAGGTACTATTGTCATTTGCACCATCTTATATATACGAGATTGGAGTTTCTCAATTTTTCTGTCTTAAATCTAAATACCGAAATGAGCCACTTTTAACACTTAATTTGAGCAACATATAGCCAGAAATATCACTGTTTGTAAACAAAAAAAAAAAAAAAAAAAAAAAAAAAAAAAAAAAAAAATTAAATTAAAATATGAAAAAAGTGAATTACTAGAAAAATATTTTATTATTACTTTAATATCAACATGTCAATTTATACTATTAACTTTACTGTCTGTTTCTGATGGCAATCATTTATTTACTAGCCAAAAGGTTTAAGGAGCCGTTCACACAAAAGGATTAACAAACCCTGAATAACCTAAATAGACCAATATTTATTTATAAACGATTATTTTATCTAAACAATTAAAATCTAATTCTTTTACTTTCGTTATTGAGCAGAATGTGGAACGAAATTATATTCTACAAGATTATCTCAGACGGAGAATCGATTTTTTGAAATATTACATGGATTACCTCCGGTGGATACAAGCAACCCTGATAAATTTGATCCTCCTTTGGGTAAGTGAAATGTTATAATTATATCTTAATTACAAACTAACCTGAAACTGAAATGATAATCTGTATATTTTTCTTAGAAAATTTATGTCTTGTATGGAAGACTATATGAACATGCTTTGCAGTGAAGACATCCAAATTCTTTTTATCATCCTATGCTTTTGAGCTAAATGACATATCTTTTGAATTTTTGTAAAATATCATGAATCGGAAAAGGCCCACTTTCGAATTAAAACTCTGTTAAATGGAAAATTTATTATGGGATTTAATCTTCTACAGAACATTCTACGTAGCATGAGAAAAGCGCCAGTGGATATGGGTATGCTTAAATATGTCACGTAAAACTATAGCTTAACTTATAAATTTTAGAACTGCATCAGGAAGATCATCAGGAAAAAAACAAAAATTTATTTATTTTTGTTTTTATTATTTATTTATATATTTATTATTTTTTCCTGATAGTAAAAAACAAAAAGACCCTAAGAAAGACCACCAGGAAAGAAACAAAAATAAATAAATTTAAAAAAAAATCTTAAAGGTTTCAGATTTTAAATTACGCCCAAAGGGGCGTTTTTGAACATTTTGTGTTACCTGTATTTATTAAATATCATGTTCTTCGCACTTAAACCATAAAATTCAGTTCAAGAACAATATCGCGAAATAATCTTAAAATGTTTAATAATCTTTATCTTTAGAATTTTCGATACACAGTCTGGCGCGCTGGAGATAAAAATGTTTTTTCTGTACAACGTTGCCGTTGCTCGCTTTGAAATCCTTGAGTTTTTTAATCAAAGGTTTACAAAATGGGAAATCGATAATAAAACAAATTCCAAATTTCAAATTTGATCTTCATTTTCATTCTTTTTAATAAAGTTTATTTTCATTTCCTTCCATGCCTGTAAATTTGTGTTAAACTCTTTTTATCAGCGTGTAATATTTTTTCTTTGAAAAATAAAAAGTTATATTTAGGCAAGTACAGTGGCCTTAAAAATGCACTCTACTAGCATATGAATTGAAAAATTCACTTAATTTAAACTTTAATTAATATTTCAGTGATACTCGCATTAATGCTGATTATTTTATTCAGAAAATGCAATAATTTCTTAGCCAAGCTTTGTTTTCGATTCTAGATCCATTTGTCTGAAATAAATTAAACTTCTGAATAATTTATATATCATAATGGTATCTGTATTCCCTCAAAGCGAATAACACGTCAGATATTTTTATAAGGAGAAATTTATTGATTACTTAAAACATCAATACTTCAGTTGTAACGAAAAACGATGATATAGACTTAGCAAAAATGTCTAATAAGAAGAAACGATGTCAAGCAATGCATATTTGAAACAGATCACTGATTCTAACGAAACCACAAACTCGAAAAACTGATTGTAACTTCCCTACCATAAATTATGTTGTTACAGAGATTGACAAGAGGAAGACTACACGGTTTGGGAAAAAAGTAGCAACAGAAAACATAAAAATCAGTAATAATTTCTTTTGAGACTTTTTATAGCACAAGAAAAACTGTAACTTAATTGGGCAAGAAATTAATTTATTAATTAACGAGAACTCAGAATTGTCAGTGATTATTTGTAACGGAGCACCCGCTCTTATATATTCAAACTCTTAGATGTTTAGACTCTATTTTCTCTGTTCTTAGATTCAAACTCTTAGAGACATTTTACGTATCTTATGCCGTGAAACAAGAATCAGTTATGCTTTTGCCGGGATTCGAACTCCGGATCACCCGATTATTGACCGCACGTGCTTCCGATTACACCACGAACTCGTGCGGCAAAGGACAAGACTAAATCCAGATAGTGACAAATTATCGTCCACCTAATTTTAATTCGGGAGTCACTATAGAGTGATAAGGTATTTATCGAAACAGGAAACATGAAACATAAGCTACGAGCTCGCCGGTGTTCGAACTCTGGACCTACAGACTGCCAGCTATATGTGCTTTCAATTATATAACAAGGCACACGAGAAAGAAGGAGAAAACTGCTTACAAATATATGCATTTAAAATATTATATTATATTGTTTCTATATATATATATATATTATAAACAAAGTTGTAAGAACTATACAAAAAAGACCAAAATTTTTTGGGCAATGTGCTGCAAAATTAAGGAAATGAGAAGAGAAATTGTAGTTAGTTCGCCAAAAAGTTACTAAAAGCTGTGGCTCCAAGAAAAATCCAACATATGCATATTCAGGAGTTTTTACAAGTTCGAATAAAAAACTATATGTGATATATTTTCGGTAGTTTAAGAGAGTTTTAAAAAACAAATTAAACTGAATGAAGTGACATATAAGGCTACATGTGAAATAAAATATAAATTATAAAACACAGTAAAATACTAATCGATGAAATAAGTTAAAGGCAAAAAATAAAATAAAACTCAGTAAAAAGCAGTCGAGGGAACAAGTAAAAAATATTAAAAATTATTAAAAATTAAAAGCGGAAAATGGTAAATTAGCTTAATTCGAGGTCCACTCTGGCGTTTCAAGGGAAATTTTCTGAGCGAACATCGAACCAAGCTAACTCCATTACGCGTTTCGCCGAAACAGACAATTGAAACTTTGCGTTGCTGAAAAAAATGATTTAATTAATTAAATAAACTGTCCTAAAAAAAAATTTTTGTCTCAATTCTCCGTTCCAATTTCCCGACGCGTCCGCATAAATTGACACATTAAGGTGTAAAAAATGTAAATGCAATTCCGAAGTACAGCAATAATAAAAATGAAAATCATAGCGTATGCTATTAGTCAAAATATACAATAACGTACGGGCTGGACCTGCAACTTAGAGAATTAAAACTTTATAAAGGAAATCTGAAATCAAATTAAAGGAATAAAAAAAATAAAACAACCAATAGCGTGGGTCTTGCTAAGACCAAGAAAAAATTTTTAAAAGAAATTTAAAAAACACCTGTGGCCTGCTGTCTTCCCTTGCGTGGAATAAACTAAAAGGGTTGTATTCCCCTCCGCGCTTTTTCACTGCTCTCCAACTTGTCGTGTGACGTGAAGGGGGAACAGTCACTGGGCAATAGCCCATGTCAAAAGACTGTCCGTTTGGTTTGATCCCGCCTAAGCAAAGGGGCGAAGACGTGGAAAAGTTCAAAATGGTCTTCATAGTTTTAAGAATGAGGACTGGTGCAAAAAGCGAAAATGGCTAATTCAGGCTAAAATTACTTAACATGGCCAATAAATTAAGAGAAAATGGAAAAATATCATTTGTTTAATGAAGTCGTAATCTTCAAGCTAGAGGGCGATCAAGCTTCATGAAACGAAAAGGCCCGTTTGTTAATAATGGTAGTAGAATTGGCCATCAAAGTAATTTTAACTATTTAAACAATAGTATAAAAGTATTGTGCCAAATTTTGGAATAAAGAAACGTAGTGACAAGAATTATCTGTACATTTATACATTAGATTCTCAGAATCATATAATAATATAGTTTAAATATATATAATATATATATAAATATAGTTTTTAAATATATATTAAATATTTATATATATATTTATTTAAACTATTACCGTCATGACAGAACATAAGGACTTTTTTTTTTTTTTTTTTTTTTTTCCTTTTTACTTTTTACTATGGCAAAAACGAATATCGAAACAGAAATGAAAACAATAATTTTGATTGCTGTCGTTGTTTTCAAATTTTTGGAATTAATTTTAAGCAATATAAAATAAAATATGAAGTGCTTTTTTTAATATATAATCTTACAAAGAGTTTTTTTATCTTAGAAAAAGGTTTTATTAAATTTAACTTCTACAAAATGTTATGTAATAAAATGAAAAAAATAATAATAAATAAATAATAAAAAAATTTAAAAAAATCCGTAATTGTTAAAATATCAGATTTAATGGGAATATAGTAATAAATGTGAAGTTATTTTAAAATGAAACTGGTTGCACGAAAATCTTAAGAGAATCAATCATGCTAATACGACTTTACAACAGTATAGAATTCCCCCATATAGACCAGTATTTATTTAAGAGAAAAACTTGATTTATTTCGTAAAAATATTTTTAATATGAAATTTTTGTTCTTGAGAAACATGAGTGCATTTTTCCTTTAAAACAAATGTAAGGTTGAATTTTGCTAAGTTTCGATGCGGAAGAAGGAACTATGTTTCATTTGAATTTTCCAACTAAATTAACCCAAACAAGGCAAGATTTAAACAGAGAGATGAGAAGAAGGTAAAGAAAGTGTAGAAATGGAAAAAGTGAAGTAAAGTAAGAACGGTACATACAGCATAAAAATACGGTTTGGTTTATGAAAATTATTAAGGTAATCTAATTTTTCTTTTCGCTCGCTGAAAATGTTTTTTAATAGAATCTTGATATAAAAAGGTGGAGTTTGATTGATCAAACTGAAGTCCACCAGCGGTTGAACGTTAATAACGTAGGTTCAAATCCCGATGAACAGGCTAACTGCATGGGAATTTTTGTGATTGATTTTTTCCCTGCATACTGGGAACCTGAGCTAATTTATCTTAAAAAGTTCTCCACAGAGGCATCACTCTTCTTACACAGATAAAACTTGAGTACTTTGTCATAATCCAAAAGAAAATTTCTTAATTAAATCCCAGTCTACAGATCAAGTAAGTATTACATGTACTTTTGTCACGTTGAAAGCGCAACAAGCAATAACATGCAGATGGGCAATTTAGAAGCACCTGCATGTTATTGCTTGATTATACTCCGAGTGTGAAAAAATAGATCAAAGTATCTGAAAAAAGACTTGCTGAAAATCAGTGAGCTTTGCTCTTTTTGCTTATGTTGCATGAATAAGTATGAGATTAATAAATAACTCTTTCTTACAGTTATGTTTGCAGCTTTTAATCCTTATCGTCTAGAATTAAGAAAAGGAGAAAATTTTGACATTTCTTGGAAAGTTAAATTTTAAATAGAAACAGTCTTAAGAGAGTTCAAGAGAGGTAGTTTACCGCAATTAAGTTGTGCAAGTAGTCAGGAGTAATTACCTTAAAATCATCACATGTTGCATCTCGATCCATCAATTAACCAAGCTTAATTTGAGAGAATCTTATAGCTACACATAGTTTATCCAAAGGTGCTATAATTAAGTTTCGAATAGAGTGAGCCACTATCTCTAGTCGTGGATAACGTCTTTATAGTAGCTTCTAACTAAAATAAGATTTTCGGAGTGAAAATGTAGCTTTTATCGATGAATAAGAAAACCGGGATGTTTCGTCTCTAATAGGAGGAAAGGTGCATCCCGTTATCGTGGTTTAATAATTTTAATATTAATTATAACATTGTAAATGGTAGCATTTAACATTTAGTATTTAGTAACTTGTGAATGGCAACAGTTTGGATGTATGTAAAAGTAGAACTATGTTACTATTGCAGTGCTCTGTAATATATAATACGATCTGCTACCCGGGATACGTTTGCAATGCTACTTAAACAAAAGAAAGTGTCTGTGTTTTAATTCTGTTATGAATCTTTTTTCTTTATGCATATTTTGCGTGTTTCGATTGGCTTGTGTCATCTGATACCAAGGATGATAATGGCGCAGGTGGTGAATTTAATTCTGCCAGTTTCACTCACACCCGCCCAGCACATTCATGTTGCTTCATTCTTAAATTTGAGGCCTCTGCAGTACATGAATAATTTATCCATCTTTCCAACGACCACACGTGGGTGAAGAGTGTAATCAGAATTAGCATCGTAATAGAATGCACCAATATTTAAATCAGCATGGAGTGTTCGTCTGGATCGAGCATTGCGTACTCGAACGTCTTCCAGCCCTGCTTCCCGTTGCTCGTCCGTTTCAGATCAACGGGCTTGGAACAGTGCGTTCTCTACAATTTCCCAGTCTTGCTTTCCATTGCTCGTTTGTTTCATACGTACGGGTTTGAGCTGTGCGTGGTTTGATATTTCGCGGCCTTGCTTCGTTGTTCATTTGTTTCTGAAGCTCGTGATGTCCTTTTACTTTCGTGCTTGAAGTGTAGATCGAGCAATCGATTTTCGTTTTGGTCGCATAACTGATTTCACAGCGATGATAGACTCATCGACACTAGAGGAGTATGTAACTGACCTTCAAATTAAAGATAGAACATGTGAGTTTGCACAATTAACGGATAATTTCAAATATAAATTGTTTGTAGTATTAAAGATTATGTAGTAAGAGCAAATTATTGCACATAAGTTAATGCACAGAAAACAAATGTAAAAAAAAAAATTAAAAAATTAAAAAAAATCTATGATGCTACATATTCTCAAGAATCAACTACCAAAATCCGCTAATTCAAAAACAGGGGACGGTGAGCAAAGAACTAGAAGTGGGAAAATGATTATAAAGATGGCCAGGTATATGGACTGATTTGGGACCCTTTGAAAAAAATTTTGAACTCTTTAAAGGAAGGAAGCTATAACATTTCGTATTTAGTATTTAGTAACTATGTGACTATTCTAGTGCTCTGTAATATATAATATTCTAGGCTTGTAAATAAATACTTGAAACAGTTTAAAGTGTACCCTCTTTATTTCATAGTAAGCTGAGTTAACCAAATGATAACATAAGCCTCGTGATTAGATAGAAACTGTAGCCGAATCTCCATTCACGGACTCTCCCAATTAGCTGACAATTCCCGATTCTGACTTCTTCGAAATAGGTAACATTTCGAAATCGGTCCCATTTAGCCGAAACTTTATATTAATTAATATACAAAACCCATGATACCCTGAGTGTCCGCTTGCGGATATTCGACTGTATCGGGAAGCATCCCTGGTATCACAACCGAAGGAAGGACTTCAAATACTGACCAATGGACATCTCTTGTGAAGTTGAATCTTTGAAATTTATTGTTTACACGTTATTTCGCAACTATTCACAGTATCCAAGAGGCATTTGTAATTCTTTTAAATTCATTCATCCAAAATGCAATATCTTCGCAGTTACTTATATTTGATTTTAATTTCGCATAAAAAAGTTTTATAACAAATCCAAGACAAGCTGTTTTAATAATTTTGTAATGAAAACTGGCCGGCAAAGGTTACGTGACCTAATATGAAATACTTTATTGGTCAATTTTACAAGCTCTACCTTGGTTGCGATATATCCACTTGAGAATTATGCAATTGGAAGCAGCTCATTTCAGTTCGATACACTTTAAGTTATTTAACTTTTGTATTTCAGATCTAGCTGAAGAAACTATAGTATCACCTACTGGAGGAGTTCCTTCGAGACAAGGAGAATTTCCCTGGATGGTATAAATTTTATTAGCTAATTTTTAAATTTTAAATAATTAAGTAAACATGAGTGTACAAATTAGCCTTAATCAACTTTATATTTAGAACGTATTTTTAGCTAATATATTTTTGTTTCATTTGACATAAATATGAATCACAGATTTTAATTATTTTCACAGAGAAAAACTATTTTTTAAATTGTATGATCATTATGACGCTTTTAAACCACAGCTTGTGGGCACCTCTTTTTAAGTATCAGCAGTTTATCCTAGCTATTATTGCTTTGTTCTCAGGTTTCCATACATAAAGCTGGACGCCACTGGTGTGGAGGAAGTATAATCGATAGAATCCATGTCTTATCTGCTGCTCACTGCTTTGTATCTGAAAGGTAAAAAGAATGAATTGGTGTTTTACTTATTTATTTTTATTTTCATGAATATTATAATTGTGAACTCTCTCACGATGATCATCTCCCTAAGATGACTTCTTCTAAAACTGATCAGTAATTTATCCTAGCTGTAAAACATAAAAAGCATTAATAGTTTAATAAACATTACCTCTCTAAAGCGACATGAACACAGAAGATCCAGATCACGATCGATAACACATTCAAAAGGGTAACGGTAACACATTCCAAAAGTAAAATTTTAAATCTTAGGCAAAAAACGTTTCTAACATCTTTGAGAAACTCAGATTCAATGCGATCCTTATTATGATTATTATCATTTGAACTTGATCTCATCGCATTCTGTTCTAAAAATTAGCCTAACGCGCATTTTGCCTTTTAACAAGAAGAAAACAGAGCAAAATAAATACATTTGTAATTTAATTCAGTAATTCGTTCATTTTTGGAGTAAGATTCATCCACATATTTTTCTCTCGAGCTTGCCGTGGTATTTTTAGTTTCTAATTTCTAAAATTTGAAAAAATATTTTTCAAATAATTTTACACATTTTATCTGCCAAGAAATTCAAACATAAAATATTTTAATTATTTCACAGTTCATTACGAGCCAAAATATTCAGGCCTCTACTATGATATCATGCAATAATAATTTCTTTTCTAGAACAACATTCTTATTTAAATTACCTTTTATTGGTATTTCACATCGAATAAAATTAGCTTTTAAAATTTTCTTAATTTCTGTATGTACGAAAGACGGCTTAGAGTCAATCATTTAAAAAGCATGAACCTTGAAGTCTAACTCAAGTATTTCAAATGTATTATAAAAACTCAACATTGAAAGCTATCCTAATTCCAGCGACTCTTATCATTTGCATTTATTCTGTCCGTATTTTCCACTGAAATTAACTTTAACTACATTTAATTTCAAAGGATGGATCGCATCCTATATAATCTTTTTTCATATTAAACTATTATACAAATCGCTTACAAATTTAAAAACTGAATTAATAAAATGTCAGTATTGAAAACAAAAGGTTTTATCATTGTTTTATAACTCAGAGCCTGAATGGATAAGACTGCTAAATACTAGTAATTCGACTCGCATCGGAACCCTGGAGAATGGGTTGATTGCATTTTCGTGTTTTACCTCAAGTGCAATCAGAATACGAGTCAGTTTCCTTTTTAAGTCTCTCATAAAAGGTCCACTATTTAACCGTTATAAACATTTCTTATAACGATGTATATATTTTGGTATATTCATAGAGGTTTTGAAGGCCAGTTTACGTAAAGGCTAGTTTGTTGGAATTCTGTTCATTCACGATTTACGTTTCTTTGAATTGTTGAAAAGCTATCAAAATTGTGTTTTTAATAAAAAGATTTGCACATCAGGGCCAAGCAATTAAAATCATTAAATATTGGTAGTTCGATCTAGATGAGTTCAAATCCTAGTTAAAGGGCTAGATACAAAGACATTTTCGTGGCGTGCGCTATGCAAGATATGGATATGACTCAGTTTCTCCTAAAAATTTCTCTGTGAAGGCATGCCTTCCTTTAGGCAGGTAACCATAGTATATTTGCTATAATCTAATAAATCTAGTCAAATTAAACAATGCAAGATTTCAGTTTTAGGAAAGAAAATGGAGTCTTAAAGATGCCAAATTTAAGTAAGTCAGGAGATTATTAATAAATTTATAAAACTCGAGTTTTTCATTGTAATCAAAAACTTGACGATAATTGAATTGGGCAAAATATGTGAGGCAGAAAACTGATTTAAATTCTTCTAGCTGATTTGAAAAATTCCTTTTTGAATAGTTTACTTTTTTTCTTGAGAATAGTGTCATCGTATTTGCTTTAAGCAAATATTTTCGGAGTTGTTGCCTATAACGCAAGGGGGGGGATTCTAAGCACACTCTTTTTTCAAAGTCTCTAACAACGACTTTGAACGACTTTAAACGTTTTTGCTAGCCAAGAACTATTTTGTAACTTACTTGTTATACTAACCTTCGGAAAGTTGTGAAATTGGTATAAATTAAACAGGAGTCTTTCGTATCCAGGTAATTTGTCCACTTCTGTACAAATGTCTGCTTGCCAAAAAAGCGATTCTTATCGCCCTCGTCACGAAATTCGTCGTTTATGAATGACTGTTGTACGAGGTATGTACAAATCCCCTTTTAATCCCTATAGAAGATTCGATGCTGATTGAATAATAACCGAGTACTTTGAAGTAATGTTATTGAAGTTCATAAGTTCCAACAGCAGGATTAAGATAAATAAATGTCCATACATAGTAAAAATGAAACATTGAAAAATACAGTACAATTAAGTAAAGTTGCTTTAAAAGAATAATTTTAGAATTGTTTTCTAACTGCATGTAGTAAACCTATATTATATTCGCCTATCGTTCACATTTTCTGCAAAAATTTCATGTTTTCACTCTACTGTGAAGATTAAACGTACTGCTTTCATTTTTTTAATTTGAAATGATGAAAGCAGTAGAATTGTTAATGAGGAAATATACGTGAAAAGCTTGTAGAGACATGAAAATTGAACAATGCCCTCGGTGGGACTCGAACCTAGACCTCTCGAATATGCGCCAAGTGTGCTACCGTTACACCACGAAGGGATGCTAAAAGGAGAGAGAAAATAACTTATATACTCCTATTTTAAACGGCGACTGGGGATTAGGGGGCCCATTTGCCGAATCCTGGTGGTAACGAGTTATTGCCTACCACCTTTTAGTTCGGTCTCCACTGTAGAGTCATTAGGTTTTCTTGAAGCAGGAGACGTGAAAAATGTGCAGTGTCCTCGCTGGGACTCAAATCTGGACCTCTCGAATATACGCAGTGTGTGCTACCGCTACAACACGAAGGCATGCTTGAAGGAGGGAGAAACTACTTGTTCGTAGATTTTAATGCTTAGCCTTTGATGAGCTGACACAGCTACTGAGCTTGTTGCTTTGTGAAATTATTCACCATTGAATAATATCTCAATTTTCAGAGCAAAGATTCCGGATCCTAATATGTATACAGTATATGTGGGAAACATCCATCTAGACAAAGGATTCCCTTTCAGGGTGCAGAACATTAGTATACATGAAAAATACATTATTAGACTGCATTATCATGACATCGCATTACTGACACTAAATGAAGAAATACTGTCCCCAGTATTCGCACATATCTGCCTCCCACCTCCGGAAATTGCAGCCATGGACTTATCTGGTCGCAATACGACTGTATTAGGCTGGGGCCACACTGAATTTGGTAAGTTTTTCTTTTCTTAACATTTTGAATAAAGACTGAGACCATGTATATGTCAAACGCCGTCAGAATTCTATTAACTAACCACAAAATTACTTTAAAAACATACATTGTGTATTTTGTTATTAAAAGGATGCCATTACTTAATCATTCGGCGGTTGCGGGATCAATTATTTCTTTCCTTCCAAATGCGCCCGATATCTCTCAGTCGTAAATTTATAGTGTAAGCTGTTTCATTTACGTCTACTGTTGTGCGTAACTGGAACACGATATGAGATCGTTCATACCATGAAGAAGTTAAGTTTTATTTCTGTTGCTGACGTCAACCTTGCTCCATCATATCAGTAAAATTTAAAAACATGTTGTTATTGATAAAAGGTTATCGAAGCTTTTTTGTAGAACTTCTTCAGAGTTTCATTAAAAACGTCTAGATATAGTTTTACGAGCAGCGGCCCAGATGGTATAATGGTTAGGGGAACTCGTTGCGATACCAGAGGGCCCGGATTTGAATCCCAGAGAAGGCCTGGATGTAAATTATCTGTCCTTTCATAGGTACCCCCCCCCGTGGGTTGACTGAGGAGAATTCCTGGTAAGTACTCACTAGGATATGCACTTAGGCAGTCTCAACCACGGGGACGCAAAATCAGTCTTCATAGGACTAGAACCACAGATTATTCTGTGGTAAGTTTAGGCTCGGCAACCACCGTACTGATACTGTCTTGTCCGTTCCGATGGCTACATGGTAGATGGTAGCGGGGTCGGAGTGAGAATGATTCTGCCCGGTTCTCAATTGGGTAGTGATCACATGGCCAAAAGTAAGAACATCGCAAGTGATATTCTTTGAGCGACCGGAGTGCTGCCAGGTTGCAAAGGTGTCTCTTCGTGCATTCGTTAGGCCCGCACCGGAGTAGCACACTGCGTGCCTTCGTTATATTTGTCATAGTCATGGGGTCGCGGACCCCCTTTCGAATGCTGAACCGTGAGGGCTGCACCCATCTGACCCTCCTTGGTGAGTGGCTGGCATCCAAGTTAAGAGTGATTATTCACCTAAATATTAAGGACGAGACTGAATTTAAGTGTCCCTTCATAGGAGGAAACGGTAGACATCTGTTAGGTTCAGCCCTAATAAAATGACTACCGCTTCGCGCATTTTTAGTGGCGAAAGCCTAAAAATGGCTAGTGCCTGAAGTGGAAAAAAAAATTTTTTTACGAACATGCCTCAAGAATACGACTGAAGCTCAAAATACTTCAGAGACTGTAGATTTATTGAATTCGTTACCTTTCTACGAGCAAAATTTGGCATCATTCCATCAACTGGTTTTGTATAATTGAATAACAAACTTAATAATTTTCATTTTTATATACTATTAGCATTCACGTTTCTTGAATAATGACTATTAATATATAGTAAATTTTCTTTTCTCGGGAAAAGTGCTGAGAAATTTTGGGGAAGATTTATGTCATATTAACGAAGTTCGGGCTAAAAAGGAAAGAAATTCCTTCTTTTTCTAACCTACTTCCTTTCTAATCAACCTTTAGATACTCACCTTATCAGGACTTGTGTTTCTCTTGATTTGCTTTGGAAACATGGAATGCCCTGAACAAGAACAGGGAGCTATGTTCAAGATTTGTGTATAACAGACGACACAAGCAGGAAGGGTATACGAAACCCTTTACTGTACAGGCACTTCCGAATAATTTCAATACTGTACAGGCACTTCCGAATTTCGGAATACAAAGACCAACCACTTGTGGTCTATTGCGAAAGGTTGTTCTAATTCTAAATGAAGTGAAATACTTCAACAATCTACAAAAATAATCATTTTATTTACAAAGCAACTTTAATTGCCTCGAAGGTTCACTGCTAACTAACTACGTCGCAAACTAAAAACTAACATTCCTTTTCAGAAGCGAAGCGCCCTCTAACGGCGATACATAAATCATTTGGGGGATTTTTCCACACTCCCCACTGATAATTTCTGCAAAAATTATCACTATTTCAGCATACAAATAATAAAATATAAGAAAGCAACTTACATATCAAATAATTCAACTGATTAAATATAAACTGCAAAAGGAAATTCTATAAAATAAACAATATAGTTAACTGCATCAACTCAAATGTTACTCATACGTAAATATTAATTCAAATTACAAACATAAATTATTAGTATAACTAACTAATTACTAAAATAAGTTAGTGATATGAAGGTTACAAATTTAGTTCATTTTCAATCTGATAGTTCAAGGGGGTATATCAATTGCACAGGTCTCTTAAAGTCCCTTTTTAGTTTTTACCACACATGATCGTACAAGACCATCACGTCCTTTGAAGACTTGAATACTCGACCTAAATCCCAGAGGAACTTAGATTAGTTTTCCTCAATAAACTATATCACCAATTTAAGATTTTTCTTGGCTTCTGGTGTACGAGAATGAGCATTTCTTACTCAAAGATACGATTTTCTATTTTTTTCCAGAACTGTTTTATAAGTGTTGTCTGATATTCTTTTCGTTTTATTAGACTCTTTCTTGTTGGAGAGTATTCAGGATCTCAGCAAAGTTGTATGGATATTCATCCTTATGTCCGATCAATAGAAAATCAGCTGGTGCAAGCGGTTCAGGTTCATGTAAATCGTTGTAAAGGTAGGTCAAAGGACGTCTATTCACAATATTTTCGACCTCTGTCAACACAGTCATAAATTCTTCAAAATTCAGTTGAGCTCTGCCTAATATCTTTTTCAACGGTTCCTTTATGGTTTTCATAAGGCGTTCATAAAAAGCTCCCCACCATGGAGCAAGCTCGACGATAAATTTCCAAGTCAAGTCTTCATTTGCTAGAAAATTTTGAAAGTCTGTACCTTTAATATGCTGTTAAAAATACTGCAAATCTTTGGCAGCATATTTGAAAGTTTTCGCGTTATCTGAATAAAAAGGGCGACAGTTTCCTCTCTCGAAATGAACGTCTGAGAGCCAAAATGAATTTGTTTGCAGACATATTGGAAATGAGTTCTAGATGTAACGCTCGTATAACAGCGCACGTAAACAATACGATGTATGATTTCTGAATGTCGTTTCCAGACCTATGTAAACTGGACCTGGAAATCCACGCCTGTAACATAGAAAGGTGAGTTTCAACAATTCGATCTTTAGGTAACTGAGCTGTCATTTGTTTCGCTGGTTTTTTACTGCGTATTTCGACAAATTAAACAGTTCCCTAAGACTTTCTTTACCAACTGACGGCCTTTAGGAATCCAAAATTTCTGCCTTAGTTTGGCTAAAGTTGCTGCAACTCCCCGCATGCAGAACGTTATTATGTTCCGTTTTACAATTATTCAGTAAACTTGGAATCTTTAGGAAGAAGAACTGGATGCTTCTCGTCAACTGTATATTCGGTTTCTTCTAATCTTCCCTTAATTCGAAGAATTTTATTTTCAAGAAACGGTGCCAAGCTGAATATATCAGAGTTTGGAGAAATTGACTTGTTAGATTGAAGAGCCTTAATTTCAGGTGTGAAGAAATCCATCTGGGGCTTTACGAACACAAAAATTTCAGTGTCCTGAATTTCAAAAGCACTTAATGTTCCACTATTAGCAGGGCAGTTTTCTTGCCTTAGCAACGAAACGTCTAACCCATGCCATATTCTGAGATATTTCAGCACATTACTGATTTTGTTATATCCAATAGTTGATCATCTCTTTTCACAACAATGTCATAAACAGATATTTTACTACGGAGTTTCTAGTTGCTTATCGTTTCTCACGTCAAACTTCTGTTGAACTGGCCAGTCTATACGTTTGTTTTGCAACCATTCTGGTCCAAACCACCAAAGTGAACAATTTCTTAAATTAGCAACAGTAGTTCCTCGTGATACGAGGTCGGAGAGGTAGTCTTTCCCTTGGCAATAATGCCAATTATTGCTTTCAGTTAGTTTTTGGTTTCATAAATTCTGTTTTTGACGAAAGGTTTAAATCTTTCGAGAGATCCATGAATCTAAAAATAAGTTATTTGAGAATCAGTCCAATGGAAGGGGATTATTACTTCATATTTTAAACATTTTGCGATTTTATCATTCTCAATCTAGCTGATTAAAGCGCGCCCAAGAGCTCCAATCTAGGAAGTGTAAGTGATGTCAGAGGTGCAACTCTACTCTTCGGAAGCAACAAAAACTATTTGAAAAGTTCCATTGTTCAGATTTATTCTTAGATACACAACGCATCCATAAGCTTTCAAACTAGCATCAGAAAAGCTATGAAGTTCTATTTGTTTCACATCTGCATCTAATATTCCTTCTAAAATAGTAGCGGGGAATACTGAGGTGGTTTAGTTCTTCAATTTCCTCGTCCGGCTTTCCATTTATAACTAAGATCAGGTGGCAGTTCATCGTCCCAATCAATTTGGCAGACCAGATTTCCTGAATCACACTTTATTCTTATAGTGAAAGGGCCATAAAATCCGACAGGATCAAAATACGGCCTGCGGTTTGCAATAGAAAAACGTTTTGAGTTGATTGACGAGGAATGAAATTGTCAAGTGCTGAGTGTCAAAATAAAAATTATCATTATCCGTATCCCAGTTAATTCCTAACACTTTGATCGGGACAACTTCAGGAGATTCTTGCATCGAAAAATCTTTGCGATGCCAAATATCTTTGAGTTCTTTGGAATTAGTATGCCACTTATGTAGTGACATGCTAGCTTCATTAAAATGTTCACAATTTCTAAACTTGTTTTCAGGGCTTGTTCTAAATTTTGTTGACCACCAATAATGTCATCAACATACAGGTAGTTGTTTAAAAGTTCTACTGTTTCAGGTATATTTCTGAATATTTTTTAAGGTGATGCTTAATAGTAGCAGCTAGAGAAAGGGACTAGATTTTACTCCAAACAAAACTCTTGTAAATCTAAAGGTTTTCAACTTCATTGTATCATTAGGATCATCTTTCCAAAGAATCGTGTAACGTCCCCCTGTCTTCTTCATTTAAACTCTATCTGTACGAATGC